AAAAAAAAAAAAAAGTAGATATTTTTATTTTATTATTTTTTTGTTTTTGTTTTTTGAGAGAGGGTTTCTCTGTGTAGCTTTGGAACCTGTCCTGGAACTCTCTCTGTAGACCAGGCTGGCCTCAAACTCACAGAGATCAGCCTGCCTCTGCCTCCCAGAGTGCTGGGATCAAAGGCGTGTGCCACCACCGCCAGGAGCAGTTAGCTATTTTTAACGGAGAATGTCAGTATATGGGGCGGCTCGGTGGTGAAGCACTGCCTACCATGTACAAGGCATGGATTTGATCCTCAGCATCAGAGTCACACTGTGTAGCCCCGGCTGGCCAGGAATTCACTCTGTAGACCAGACTGGCCTCAAACTCATAGAGATCCAGGCTTTGTCTCCTGAGCGCTGGGATTAGAGGGGTGTGACATCACAGGAGTTGTGAAACGGCTTCCTCAAAATGATGCCTATTGGCCCAGATAACAGCGAGTTAGTGGTGTCTACTCTATTCCCCCATGGGAAGACTTCGGAAGGCTGTTTCTAGTGCCGCTGTTTACCTTGTAGAATGGCTCATAAATTCGGACTTTCACAACAGCAGCTCCAGTTCTCATCCCAGACACCAAAACCACTTCTCCTTGTCGCTCCTCTTTTTCCATCTCAACTATATAGTCAGGGGGAGAATATTCTGCTTCTGAGAATTTCAGGATCCTAGACACAAAGTAAGATTTGTCTCTAGTAGGAATAATAGTCTTCTAAACTTTAGTTTCTATGAAGTCTGTTCATGTAAACAGTTCTGAAATACCTTTTCTCACTTGTGGGCTTTTTGAAACAGTATAACACAGGCTGGCCTCGAACTTGGGTTTGAAACAGTATAACCCAGACTGGCCTCAGACTTGGATTTGAAACAGTGTAACCCAGGCTGGCCTCGATTGATTTGCTATGTAGCAGAGGCTCGCCCTGTTTTCAAGACAGGTTTTCTCTGTGTAGCCCTGACTGTCCTGGAACTTGATCTATAGACCAGGCTGGCCTCAAACTCAGAGACTCACCTGCCTTTGCCTCCTGAGTGGTAAAATTAAAAGTGTGCGCCACCACTGCCCAGCTCACCCTGAACTTCCAATCCCCCTGCTTCAGCCCCTCCACCCCCCACTCCCAGTATTAGGATTAAAGTTCTGTGCCATGGAGGCTGATTTGAGTTTTTAATTTCTGATTTCCAGAAGGGCTAGCCTATGGTTAAGACTGCTCTGAACTATAATTTAGGCTGTCTGTGATCTGTTCTTTGGGACTGAAAACAGAATGTTGTTGTTTTAACTTTTTTAAGGTGTTCCAACTGTGTAGCCCTAGCTGGTCTGGAACTCACTATGTAAACCAAGTTAGTTTTGAACTCACAGAGATCAACTTGCCTCTGCCTTCTGAATGCTGGGACTAAAGGTGCTTGCTAAATCAACGGGCTAAATGATCTCACTCAGTTTCAGCATGTGCCAACAGCTTGAGCTCACAGATCTCCCAACAGAGGCTCAAGGGAACTCTCATGTAGGTTCCCACATTTATCCCCTCTGTCTTTCTACCAAAGATATGTGCCCTAGTGAATGTCTCTGTTTAAAACTTTCCAGACAGCAGGCTTATCAAGGTCCACACAGACGGCTGCTGTGCACAGGGTTTCACAGGGACGCGTCGTTGTCAGAGCCAGGTGGTTTATGTCGGGGTTCAGCTTTACCTAATTTTGCTAAACAGCTCTTCTCTGGCTGACTCGTTATCCTGGGCAATGCTCCACTCAAACACCATGCCTGCCAGAGTGCTGAACGTGTTCCCTGCAGAGCAAGCCAAAAGCAGCGAGATAGAGTCACATATTCCAAAACATTCCAGTGATGACTCCACTTAAACACACGCATGAAGAAGACCCTTACAAGACAATGTGAGTGCGGCTTCCAACAGACTAGCATTTAATTATTTATTTAGGTTTTTGAGACAGGGTTTCTCTGTGTAACCCTGGCTGTCCTGGAACTAGCTGTGTAGACTAGGCTGGCCTCAAATTCACAGACCCACCTGCCTCTGCCCCCTGAGTGTTGGAATAAAGGTGTGCACCCCCATGGCCTGGCTCCAACAGGCTTTCTAAAGTAGAATGGACCCATGTAGACTCACTGCCAGCTGCAGGCATACTTAACCCTGGTTCCTTCAAAACAAGTTGTCATAAAACTAGATTCTAAAAGTTATTTTTTCATGTCTTAAAAATTAGTCCAGTCTTGGGCTATGAGGTGGGAAGGCAACTCACAGTGGGAGCATGACCGCCTGAGCGCCGTCTAGTAAAGGTGGAAGGAGAGGGCTGTCCTCCAACCTCCACATGCACGCCATAGCATACATGTGCATATGTGCACTCACACAGACAACACAGTAAAAGAAATTTTAAAACCTGTTTACTGAATAATTTACAAGTATAGCAGTGATGACTTTTTAAATATCGTTTTACATCAGCATAGCATATTTAAGGCAACGTATCAGGTGGTGGTGGCACAGTGGTGGGCTGATCTCTGTACATTGGAGGACAGCCTGGTCTATATAGTGAATTCAGCCAATAGCTGCTGAGATACCAGCCCATTGGGGCGTGGTCTCTCTCTCTTTAAAAAAGCTGCCACTGCCCTCTGCTTGCTCTCTGGCTTCAGCGACTAGGCTCCCTTCCTGATTGCGCAGAGGGCTGTTGTCTGGGACAGTGATCTGTAAGTTTTTCCCACTTAAATAAATAACCATTCTATTAATCATAATTCCATACTGGTGGGGGATTGTTTGTGACTTACACCTTCACAGACCCAACCAATTTTTTTTTTTTTTGGTTTTTCAAGACAGGGTTTCACTGTAGCTTTAGAGCCTGTCCTGGAACTAGCTCTTGTAGACCAGGCTGGCCTTGAACTCACA